TAATTAAAAAAATAGTAAGGAGCAAAATATTAGAGAGACATGGTAAAAGAGAAAAGATGACTAAATATATATGTATCTATAAATATAAATATATGTACACTAGTGATTAAATAAGAAAATCTTGAAAAGAAATATGACGGAGGGCAGATGGGATATTGCACAGGAATGAGCAGCAGAAAATTACAGTATTGCACTTTTAAATATAAATATCAATAACAATAAAGTGGAGTGACCAGTGCAGATTAAACAGAGTACTTGTGAAGCTGCAGGGTAGCTTCGGAGTGCGTCCTGTGGTGTGTGTGTGTTTAAGTGTTGTGTGTGGTCACATATGCATACATAAATTAGAAGGCAGATCATTGATAACAGCGGCACCGGTCGGTAAGTATTCTTTTTGGTGTGAAGGCAGTTTGTGAAATAATCAGTCTTGTTTATTTTTCTTCCTCAACATGATTTGTCAAAGATTATTTCATGTATCTGAGCACAACCTTTGTCTATCTGCTCTTTCATCTTCTGATTTGTGTCCATATATGTAAAATCAATATGTTCTGGATTGGATTTAGATTAGAGGGGCTGGAGGGATGTTCATGTTCCTTCATGATGTCATAGGTTACTGATTGCTTGGCCATTAACACCAGTGCGGGAAAAGATGCTAGTTTGGATTTAAATACAGTTGTTGTCTTTCAAAGCTTTGCTGACACACACACACTTTCTCTAGACAAAATACATGCTTCAAATATACTTCCTATTGAAACCCATTACTGGAAAAACTGTGTTAACTGGCTTGACAGAATGTGACACTGTGTGACCATTAACCCCAAAAAATAGATACTGAAGAGAGAAGCATCCCTGTCTACTGGTATCATATAAATAAAACTGAATAGAGCTGTAGGTGGAAAAAAGTAGAGCAAGAGCCGACATGTCCTTCCTCCAGGGATAAAAAGAAATAAATAAAAATGACACACTTTTCCAGCAGTTCGACATTTTCAACATCTAGAGTGATTATTTCTTAGAAGCTCGGTTATCCCGTCTTTATTTTTAGGATAATGCTGCCTATCAGATTTTTATATCAGCTTTTCTTTTTAAAACATCATTAACTTTTACATTTTGGAGATGAGCTAAATCACAAAATGAAAAATCTGGTGAGTACAGACGAGAATGAGACGCTATCACGTAGCACTGTCTGCTCCACTGGCAGTAAAAGCTCAGACTGAGCACAAACTCAGATGTAGTACTCTATTTTCTAAACTGTCTCCTTGAAAGATCCATTATCACCACTACCCTAAGAACATATAACCTGTAACCACACCTATTCACACTCTTACAGGGAGGGGGAGGGTAATAGCCGACCTCTTGAGGTATCAATCTCCTGACTGAGGACAGCGCTGCTGGGCTTTCTGTCACTTTTTTAAATAATGGCTGGATTTCTTTCTGAATTTGAACCTGGACAAGTTTTTTTTTCTGCCACAAGTTTCACTTTAGACTTTATTTACACGATGGACGTCGACATAATGATGCCAGCCCATTGGTTGGTGGACTTTACTCTGTAGCACTTGATGAATTTTTTGAGTCCAGACGGTGTAATATTTAGATGAGAGGGTGGAGTGCTAGCTATCAGCTAACACCAGTGAGCTTGGTTAGCTTCTGTGTATGTAACGCTCAGACATGCACAGCTAATTAGAGAGAAACTACAAGAAATGAACCAACCACAACTGAAACACAAACTTCCTAGCTGGTCTGCATCTCACTGTATTTTATATTGTTTGTCGAATGATTTGGTGCAGAGTTGGACCAAAGCTGGTTTACTAACTCGCTTTGCTGTGTATCGTGGCTCACTTCTCCTTCAGTAACTACTTCACTGCACCCACATTCCCTCTTTTTGTGGATGACTAAGTAAGGTGACCGCAGCTAGCAGCGTTTTTCTTGCTGTTGCGGCAACTTCTCTGACATACTTTCCACTTCAATCCCGCTAAGTCACACTGAGTCACTCACACAGGTGCAGTGAAGCTGTGGTTACTGGGTCGAGCGAAGCACTGGTGAAGGAATTATTTTGAATTTAATTGGCATTCTGTTGTCGTCTCTGGCTCCCGCTCCTCTCCTCGGCTCTGTTTCCTGAGCAAATGCTAGCTCCTCTGTGGCCTCCACTGTTACTCACTGGTGTTTGTTGCTGGTCTAATGAAGTCAGTGCTGTTTGGTGCTCTTATCATCATGATATTTGATTTAAATGGTGTGCTGCATGTTAGAAAGTTAACCATGGTTTCTGACTGAGACTATGAATGCTTTTGGCCATGAACAATGAAAATGTGATAAGATAACCTTTTCACAACATTTTCTGTTCAGATTTGTCTGACAGGTCCGGTGCACTGACCATCAAAAAACTGGACTGACTCATTTAAAAACTGGAATCTATCCACACACCCCAGAACTGTTTATCTGTATGTGATTTTCAATACTGCAAAGTTGGGCATTTTAACATGCATGTCTCTGTGGACTGACTTGTATTTTGTGCCATTGCCAAACGGCCATTAGAGGAACTGCAGTTTTTGGCACTTCCACACACAGCAGCACATATGATTACGTGGCATGTCAAGTCATGACTACCTGAACAATGAAAGAACTTTTCTATCAGCACCAAGTGACATGCTTGAGACTGAGAGTCTTTTTTCAAGAAAACACAGCATGTTTTGGGTTTTTTTTCAGGGCTTTTCAGTGATGGACAGATATTGAGATTGTGGCCTCCATGATTTTCTTCCATGATCTGTTTTCATGGTCTGATCTAGAAAAATGCATTTAGCTCAAAATATTATTCAACTAGTTCAAAAATACTCACCTGAATAAATGACAGGTGGACAAAAATGTTTTCAAAGTATAAATTATAACCATACAATCTGACTACCTCACACTGACACTGTAATTTAATAAAATCATGCACATTCATACCTCGGGGGGAATTTAAAAGCATCACGCCACCAACTGCATGACGTCGGACTGTGGGAGGAAGTCAGGCAGCGAGAATGCGCTAACTCCACACAGAAAGGCCTCGGCCAGACGCTGGATTTAAACCAGGAACCTTCTTGCTTCAGAAGTGCTAAACATCGTGCTGCCATGCAGCTCTTGGTGTGGAGGTTATAATTTATAATGTATGCTTTAAAAAAAGAAAAGCATTATTAAAAGCTTTAAGCTGTCTTATCGTGGTATTCTTTCACCTGTTGTCACTATTCCAACTGACGATGATGTTTTTGACCACAATCATCAGTCTCTGCAACATCTGTGCACCTGTCAGGTTTTCAGAATGCTGACGTGGTACATTGTATTTGGACAAAGTTTCACCAGTGGCACTTTAAACTGCTTCATCCTAATTTAAGTATGGCTTTCTGACCTTATTTAAATGCCCATCAGACACTCAGGATTCATGTTATTCATGTTTAAACATTTCGCCTGCTTCTAGACTCCTTTAAATAAGAGAAGGAGAGAGAGAGAGAACAAAGGAGCAGTTTGTGAGAGCGAGTGAGCATGAAGGCAGAGATGATACTTCACTTTAGATACTGCTGCATTATTGAATGTAATTTTGTGTTTAAGAACAAATCTTTTAACACTGAATGTTGAATCACGGTTCTTCTCCTGCTCTCTTTCACCCTTTTCTGTAACTACTGAATCTATCTAATAAAGATAGAAAGGCGATAGAAATTGTCTTTAAAAATGCATCGAATCAGCCTGAGAAGCTTCAGTGACTCAGTCATTATGAAAAGTTATCAGGAGTTATGGTTTCTACTTAACAACACTAAATGGAACTTTAATTATTAGATTCTTAATGCTGCTCGAGCAGTTTGTGCAGTCGTGTATTGAGACATTCATTCATGTTTAGCGAGGATGTGTAGAACCGCTGCTTTGGTTGCCATTGTCTTGGCCTCCGTTGCAAATATAAGGAACCGTGGATTTGCTTTTAACCAGGATATTTGCTCCGATGCACACATAGAACAAGAAGTCTCTGTTAGTCAGGCATCTGAAATTGAAATGAACTGTGCAATCATCACCGGCACTGACTGGTCATGTTCACAGAATAAAAGCAGGAAGGGCAGTGGAATAGCAATGAGCGGTTATTTCCCAGCCAATTAAACAAATGACTGTTTTCATGATTAATGGACTCATTGTTTAATCTTTAAAATGACACAATTACAGTATGAGAGAAGGCTCTTTCATCTAAACATGTCTAATCATCACATTTAAGAAGCTGGAACCAGCAAAAATATAGTTGTTATGAGGGGGTAGCTATGGAAACAGGCAAGTTTTAAGCATGTTTCTTGTGACATCACTCACTTTTCAGGTAAGAGTTTTTTACTTTAAAGTCAAGCATGTAAATACACCAAAGTACAAATCGTTACAGTAGTTATACAATAAATAATTGGGAAGCGTATCTGTAACCGGAAGGTCGCCGGTTCGATCCCCGGGCTCTCTGTCCTGGTCAAGACACTTTACCCTACCGCCTACTGGTGTTGGCCAGAGGGGCCGATGGTGCGATATGGCAGCCTCACTTCTGTCAGTCTGCCCCAGGGCAGCTGTGGCTACAACCGTAGCTGCCTCCGCCAGTGTGTGAATGTGAGAGTGAATGAATAGTGGCATTGTAAAGCGCCTTGAAAAGCGCTATATAAATGCAATCCATTATTATTATTATTATTATTTATGAGATGAAGTTTTTCCCATCAATGCTTTTTGGGATGTAACTGCCTGTGAAAAGTATTAAAAGAAGTATTAAGCTACATATTTAGGAGCTGTTGTTAAAGAGTTACATCTAACATATAAAGAACATCGTATCATCATCCTTAAAGTGCTCTGGATGACAGTACAACCCAGTGCGGCCCTCACCCAGTTGCCAAGGGTAATTATTTGAAGCTGTGAGTAAAGGAGGTCTTTAAAGGTTATTGCCTCATTAATGGGATGTTGGGAGTATCCGAGCAGTAGAAGCATTTTCCCTCCCTTTATTTCTTTTCTCTCTCTCTGTTCAGGTGCTGGGCCTCCGGCCGATCGGACAGTGGTGATTGACGAATACAGGTACCTGTCTCAAAAGCTGTTTGCAGCCGTGTCCGTCTTCGCCGGCCTCGGCATCCTGCTCGGCATCGTCTGTCTAACCTTCAACATCTATAACGGGAATGTCCGGTGAGTCCTCGAACACTCGACATCCACATAGCCTGAAATATTCTCCCCTCGTAGTCTTCGCTTATTATTTTGCATTCACTGTCGTTCTGTTTATCTTGCCTTGAGTTTTTTTTGGAGAGGTCATTGTATAAGCTGCTTCTCCTGCACAAGCCTTTTACTTGTTTACTTTGGATTCAAGTGTGTGTCAGTGAAAGTGTGTTTGAATATAAATGAGTGCCTTTGTGAGCACACCAGACATTTTTAAATAATTGTATGTTTTACTCTAAAACTCAACAGAAAAATTATGCTCCAACAATTTTGAGACTTAATTCGATTTTTAAATAAATCCAAAATGTTATAGTGTCAGCTTTTCAAGTGTAGTAATTATTTTGTTTTCATGCTTTACTTAATTAATTGTTTTTAGGTTTTAAAGACTGTTAATGCCACAAAGTTTGGATCTTGAAATTAGCTGTGGTTAAGTCACGCAAGGAAAATCTTCCTTTTAAGATGGAGTTACAGATGAAATGGTCAAACAGCCGAAACTAATGAGGACCGACAGAGTCATGTCTCAAAGATTCAAGAGACAGCTTTGTTACACAAAAGTCATCTGTTTGGATAAAAATCTGTGAAGTCAGAGGAAATCAGATCTTGTAACAACCTCCTGCTGCTCACAGAGACCTCATCACTCACTGTGTTTGCACTCCAAGCGTGACTTTGAGTTTTTCTTGGATTTAAAACAGAGCTCAAAATAATTCTCAGAGATCTTCTTCTCCTTTGAGGTTAATGTAAATGAATGGCATGCTGTGTCTCCAGTTTGGGCATGGCTTTTTTTGCTATCTTGCTGCTGGTTTCATTGTCACAGCTTAAACGTAGCTCTAGAGCAAATGCAAATAAATTCACTTTAAAAAAAACTGCCTTTTGAACTAGGATTTATGAGCTTAATACATGTCTGTGAAGCCAGTGGAGGATATCTCTGAGGTCTCTTTAACATAGTATTTTTATGTTTGACCTGGGTCAAAGTGATTTACACTCCCACAAGTCCACAAGCTTATCAGGAGATTTACTTATTTATTTTTTTCTTTGGAGAGCTGGAGAGGTTTGTTCTTCTGAGGATCTCTGGCTGACTCGAGTGTGCCAATCAGGCCCTCCTCCACCTTTGATTATATTTCAAACACAATTTCACCACGGGCTGCTTTCAGCAGCCAAAACAGTGCGAATCAGATCAAATCAAATATATTCAGTAAGATGTTTTCACAAAACAGGTTTGCACCAGCTGCCTTGTTAGGAGACAAAACTCCAAAATCAATCCACCTTAAAACAACGAAAGAGTCAAAAGCAATCACAGACGAGAAATCCAACGAACTGAATCCGACACGTCTGACCTTTCGATGTCTCAGCTGCAGCTACAATAAAGTTCAGCAAATGTTTGACCTTCCAGGTGATTTCACACCTGTAGTTCAGTTAATTTGGTTCGCCTCAAACGGAGAAACAGATGTTTGCTCTTCAGCTGCGTTTATAGAGCAGGAAAAAGTGACTCAGATCTGGGTTTTTTCACTGAGCTGAATTTTAGAGCGTACAAAAACCACAAACAACAAACATGAGCTGCAATAATGCCATATAAACACCTGGGGAGTGAAGTGCTCAGCGCATCATGGGAAGTCCCCCAAAAGCACATTCATCTAGCGGCATGACTAAAGGATGGTTCAAGGTCGCCTGATCCACCCCCAACTATAAGCTTTTTTTTAAAAAAAGGACATTTTGAAGCCTGCTCTTAAAAGCAGAGGGTGTCTGTGTCCTGAACCTGAACTGGGAGTCGGTTGCACAGGAGAGGGACCTGGAAGCTGAAGGCTCTGCCTCCCATTTTAATTTGAGAAACTCTAAGAACACAAGTAGACCTGCAGTCTGAGAGCAAAGTGCTCTATTAGGATAAAATGGTGCTATGAAGTTATGGTGTTGGCTAATCATTCAGCACTTTGAGCACAAGGAGAAGGAATTCAATTTAACAGTGAGCCAATAAAGAGAAGCTAATAAACGAGACGTATAATCTCTCTTTCAGTTCAGCTTCTAGGACCACTGGATAATAAGGAATTACACTAGTCCAGCCTTCCCAAATGCAGAGTGGTGTGAACAGCACAGATCACATGGGCTCATTCCATTCAGACCATTTAGATGTGCATCTTTAATCTGAGCAGTCAAAATGGACTTTATGTGATCAGCCATGAGAATCCCGTGGAGGCACTTACATGTATAGTTAACATCTTCATCCCTGAAACACCCTGTACTGGCTTCAAGCAATATTTGTTACGAGAAAAAAAACCCAGAACCATTTTTCAAAGGTCAAAGAGGCCATCTTATGAACATGGATGTAGTATTTGCCATGCTTTATTTCTGTTGCTTCAAATAAAGCTGCAAAGCATTCAGAGATTGGGCGAAATTATAGTTTAAGATAGTTTAAAGCAGCGGTC